GGGGAGGGCAGTGGGGAGGGGAGGGGATGCTGAGCGGGATGGGGACAGCTGGAGATGCTCAAGGCAGGGACAGCTTCTGGGTTCGTCCCCATTAGGAGGGCTTGCAGCAAGGGGGCTGCCACCTCCCCATGCCCAATGTCCCTAGGTGCCCTCCTGCCACCCTCCCCGTGCCACCGGCATCTCTTGGTGATCTGGCAGCCTCCTTGGCAAGGGTGGGGGACACACACACACATCCCACTCAGCCCTACCAGGAACTGGATGTGGCAGTTGTTGACGGAGAGGGACCAGGTGAGGTTGGCCTGGCTCTGCAGGATGAGGATCTGGTTGCTCATGGCTCTCTCAGGACAGCTCAGGGACAGGTTCACCTCCGTGATGGGGAAGCTGCGAAACAGATTTCGCCCCCCCCGTCCCAGCATCAGCATCCCACACTGGCGGGTCCTGTACCCCCCTTGGGATGGGGGAGCTCTGCCTATGAGACACCCCAATCCATTCCCGAGCATCTCCAAGCATGTCCCACCCCTCCCCCCACCCCTGGGGGTCCCACTGCTGGCACTGCGTGGTACCTGGGCTCGGGCTGCAGGCGGACGATATGGGCGGCCCTGGTGCTCTGGGTGTCCCCGCGTGAGCAGCCCTTCACCCCGTGGAAGAAGACCTCAGTCTCGAGGTGCAGCATGGCGTCGAAGCGCTCCTGGGGGATGCACTCTGGGGGGCTGCTGGCGTCTGTGGAGGCGGGGGGCGGGTCACCAAAGCCAAACCGGGCTCGGTGGGTGGGGAGATGCTCAGGGCCAGGGGCATCGGTCCCCATAGCCTCTCCCCCGGGACCATGCTTCGCTCCAGCAGGTTGTCACCCTTCAGGAGCAGGAAGAGCATCGCTGCCCATCCCGGCCCCCCAGCACCAGCCTCTGGGCCCACGCACCTTCTCCCAGGCGGACCTGGACCCAGCGGGGGTCCCGCAGCTCGCTGTAGGATGTGATGCCCCCGTAGACGTCCTGTCCAGACCCCAGGCCAACAGCTGCCACTCACTGGTGGCCATGGGCAGCTCGGGGTCCAGTGCTGCGGTGGTCCCTGGGCTGAGGCGGGCGTCCTGTGGGGTGAGCAGCAGCCTGAGCTGGGGTGGGGGGGGCAAGGCACATCCCTCCCTGGCATGGGCTGGCGTGGGGAAAGCGTGGAAAGCCTTTCCCCCAGCATGGAGGATGCGGGTGTAAAGCTAAGACAGGCAGGCATCCCTGGAGCCCTGGCTCCATCGTGGCCGGGGGTCACCCTGGATGAACGGGGGTTTTTGGGGCCATGGGCTGGGAGCAGCGTGGGTGGCTGGCGGCACGCGGAGAGCTCGGCCCACTTTATTATTAGCCACAAACAAAGCAGGCTTATTTTGCTAACAAAGCGCCCGGCCCCGGCTCAGCTCGCTGGAGCCAAACCCCATCCCTGACCTTCCTCCCGCCAGCCGGAGGAAACGGGAGCTTTTTCCAGCCCTGTGCGTCATTCCTTGCCCAGCCAGCCCCGTGCTCAGTGCCGCTGGCAGCAGCCAGGCGCGTCCCCTCCTCCCCGGGGCACCACGAGCATCATCTCTGGGTATGGGGGGACCAGTCTCCTCCGGGGACACCCCCCCTCCAAACATCTCCAGGGCTGGCCCCAGCCCTGCTGCCCCCCGGGGTTGCTCCTGGCACGGGGCTGCGGCACTCACGGTGCGGATGAGCAGGTCCGGGCACGGGGAGGTGACGGTGGCTGAGCAGCGGGCACACAGGAGGACGAGCACTGCTGATCGGGTGCAGCCACCAGCTCGTGGCGTGACGGACACCTTCAGTGGGAAAGCAGAGGCCTGGGGGGGGGAAGGGGAGCGTGTCACCACCTTGGCCACTGAGCCCCAATTGCTGTCACCTCTCTGGCTGTCCCCCAGCCACCCCACCTGCCCCTGGAGCCAGAGGCAGCAGGGAGAGCCCTCGGGCTGGCCCCAAGCATGAGCCATGCAGGAGCCAGCTGTGGCTGGGTTTAGGGGGGCAGACTGGGGGATGCAGAGATGCCACATGGATGTGTACCCACACCAAGGGGGCAAACACCCCCTGGCTCCCCTGAGCAAGGGACCAGGGCACCCCCACCTCGGGGACGGTGGCATCCCCACACTGGTGTCCAGGGCACCCCCATACTGGGGTCTGCCCCCCCCCCCCCCCCCCCCTTGGGGACCAGGGCACCCTTGTGTCAGGGACTGGGTAATCTCTGCACTGGGCACCAGGGTGTCACCCCACTGCGGACTGGGGTGTCCCCACACCAGAGACTGGCATGTCCCCACACTGGGGACTGGGGCATCCCTACACCAGCAACCAGAGCATCCTCACACAGGGGATTGGGGTTTCCCCGCACCGAGGACTGGAGCACCCCACACTGGGGCCAGGGCATACCCACCCTGGGCACCAGAGCATCCCCACTGTAGGTACCAGGGTGTCCCCCACTGAAGACCGGAGCATCCCCACCCTGGGCACTGGGACATCCCCCCCGCGGGTTTCCCAGCCCCATCCCAGCACTGTGCAGCTGCTCCAGGCTCGGGACCGGCTGTACCGGTGTGCAGGGATGCCGGGGGCACAGCGGTGGCATGCACCGCTCCCTGTGGCCGGCACTGCCCTACGGCCTCCAGCCGGAAATCCGGATGGGGAAGCCGAAATGCCAGGCGCTAAGTTTGGCAACTGCCGCCTGAATCACTACTCGCAAAGTGCTGAGCCAGGCGGCAGGCAGGGAAAACCAGCCGGGGACCAGGGGGGTGGAGGCAGCCGCCAGTGCCGGGCATGGGGCCGGTGGGATGGGGCTGTGGGCATCCCGGCCTGGCTGTGGCCCTGTGGCGAGTGTGGGTGGCCGGGG